AGAAGGCGCCATGGCATCGCTCAGCTCAGCCTCTACGTACCGTGCTGAGCTCATCAGTGCCTATGGGCAGGGGCATGGCGAACCCTGTTTTGAGGCTGACCGGCGGCATGGACCCTTTGGGGCACGAGCACATGAGGCCTTTGGGTACCCAGGTACTGGGGATATGGGGTGGGGGTCCCTGCTACATTGGGGAGGGTCACCCTCTAAGGGTTATCCAGCTTTCTGCTATTAAGTTACAGCTTCCTAGAATGAAAACCTTGAGTACTTCTGGGTTATCCAGCTGCCCTGTGCCCTGGCACAGAGTGGCACCCTCCCACCAGCACAGGCTGAGGGTGCTGGGAGGGGAGCCCCAAGTTTCCCCCAGGTCCTCCATGGCTCTCTGGACTGTCCTTAAGCCCTCCCTCCCTAAGTGCTTTTGTGCTCCTCCCGTAAGTCCCCAGTATCCCCAGTGTCACTGTGCTCCCTCTTACCTCCTTTCCAGGTCTTTCTGAGCCCTGTAGTGTCCCCAGAAACCCCCACTAGGTTTCCCCACCCACCCTCACCCCAGACCTTTCTGGCTGCCCTTATGCCCTCAGCTCCCCTGTGCCTCAGACCCCTTGATGCCCCCTGCTAGCACCACACTTTCTTGTACACCTCCAGTAACTCCAGTGCCCTCATCCCCCACAGACCCACCTCCCCCAGCCTTTCCTTGTCATCACCAGTGTCTTCAGCCTTTGTGCCTCCTGCTACCCTCATCCCACCATCCCAGATCACCCCAATTCCCCTTGCAATCCCCCTGGCACCTTCAATGTCCCCAAACTCCCACTGCCATTTGCTACTCCTGACCCTCCCTCCTGCAGTGTCACCAGATTCTTCCTCACCCCACGGTGCCTGAGCCCCTGGGCACTGTGCCCCCATGCCCAGCAGCACCCCAATGCCCACAGAGTCTCCAGGAGCCATGTATCCCTGCAGCCTGGGCACGTGGGTGCGTGCCCAAGGTGACACCTACCAAGTGGTGGCCGATGTCAGCCAGTTTGAGCCCCATGAAATTGTGGTGACCACCTCCAACTGCTATGTCTCCATCCAGGCAGAAAAGGTGAGGCACTCCTGGCACAATGGGGGTCCTGCCCCATGACACCTCCTCCTGTGGGTCAGAGTGGTGGGGTGGTAACTGGGAATGGCCCCTGCTGGCACTGGGGTAAATGGGAGCTAGAAGAACAGGTAGCTCCTGCTCCACTGCACTTCTTCCATACTGAGGTAACTGGGAACTGTCCTCACTGAGAATGGGGCAACTGGGAACTCTTGCTTCATTGCATTCTCTGCCAGTAGTGGGCAATTGGGAACAATCCCTGCTGGCAAAGGGGTAGTTGGAAATTGCCCCATAAACCAAGACTTGGGCAACTGGGAGCTGCTCCCTGCTGGCAGTGGGGTAACTGGGAAGTGCCCCTGAGTCCTGGGTAACTGGGAACTGCCCTGTTGAGCTCCCTGCTGAAAGCCAGGGTGACCAGGAGTTGCCCCATTAGGAGCTCTGGGGTAACTGTGAATGTGTTGTATGCCCAGTGCCTTGCCCAATCCCACTGCACCAGTGCTGCCTCTCTGCAGGTGGCTGAGGATGGCACCATCTGTGACACCTTCACCCACAAGTGCCAGCTGCCTGAGGACACGGACCCACTGTCAGTGAGCTGCACCCTCACCGAGGCTGGCACACTGGTCATCACTGCCCGGCGCCGTGCTGGTGCCCACACCAGCCACTGTACCGCAGCGAGGTCACGCTGTGAGCGGCACTGGGTGATGAAAAGCTCCTTGCCCGAGGTGATGCCAAACCTGGCATCATGGTGAGGCTCAGCCAGTGGCCACCGGCTGTGCCCCTCCCCACCTCCAGCCCCTCAGTGCTCTGGCTCTGTTTATAAAGTCTTTTTATTAAATTAATATAAAAATCTCTGTATTTACATGGGGAGGGGTGCAC